ATGCATATGCATATTACAAACAAGCAATACTTTGTGACTCTAAGCCAAATTGTCAAAGAATAATGCAAGAATGTGTAACAGCTTAGAAGGAAGTTAAAAAAAATGATACTGCTTTTATTGAAAACAAAATTCGGAAATATTATGATACCATACCTTCCACTATTCGCTTTCATCAAAGAATTTTAATATCACGTGATTCAACTAACAGTTCTCATCAAACCTCCACTCCATCCACTCTAAGACAGTATGTTGGGTTTATTGACACTACAACAATACCACCAAATGCCAAATCACAACATATTGTAGCTGAAAAGATCAATTCAGCTGCAAAAAGCCTAGCTGAATATCAACGAATGAAGGAGATTGCTACAGATGACTCAATGAAAGTTTTATTATCATCTAAGATAATTAAAGAACAAAAAAATATATCAATACAAAATGCACAGTTAACAAAGCTGAAACGTCATGCTGAAGCCCAATCAAAGCTAGCAACAAAAAAACAGAAATTGCTAGAAGAGGGTATTGTAGAAAATATGATACTCTAGGAAGACCATCCGCAGCTATGAAAGATCCAGATCTATGGAATAAAATCTATGACAGCATTGAGTTTGAAGCTGCTCATGCTAAATGAAGAAAAGTGGTCATAAAAGTTAGGACCGTGAAGCATTTACGCGAAACTTTAGAAGAAAAATATAATACTTATCTATCTCGTCAATGCTTATCAACTTATCTTCAACCCCGAAACTAATGCACCTTTGCTGCATGTTGTCATCATCATCCAACAAAGATTATCTCGCCTCCATATCATAGACAGAAATGAAACCTCATATCGATGAACATTACTGTCTAGCTTCCGTCAAAGCTGCAAGAGTATTTGCTGAAGTTTTTGCTGAGGAGGCGATTATTATCTCTCAGGATGACAAGGCAAAGGTCAGATTGGGCATTCTCGTAGTTGGTCGCACGTTCAAAACAATCCAGTCAGTTAATGAACCAGTAACTGTTGAAGATCACGATTTCCCAACTGATTCAAAAATGAAACTCATACCTTCTGTTTATTTAGTCATTAATCTGGCTGATTCGAGTAATACCTTTCATACTGGTCGGCTTTCCATATTCATTAGGCCAGAATATTTCATTGGAACTTCATCAACAATCCATATAGTAGATTTAGAAAGTATCATTTCGAATGAAGAGTTTTCCACTACCCTAAAGAAAGAAGTCAAAGTTAGACCTATTTGGATTCTTCTTGTTGATGGTGGACCCAATGAAAACTCAAAGCATATGAAAAATATTATTCAATATGCTCACCTTTTCCATGCTCTTGAACTGAACTACTTGACGATTTGTACTCATACTCCAGATCAAAGTGCGTATAATCTGGTCGAATGCAGTATGGCTTCTTTGTTCGCAAAACTTGCTGTTATCACTCTACCTGTAGGGGAATTCGGATCACATCTAAATAGTCAAGAGAAAGTAGTAGATGAAGTGTTAGCACAATGAAATTTTGAATATTCGGGAAAAAAACTACGTGATATATGGAAAAGGAATGACATACATGGGAAACCTGTGATGGTGGAATATGTCGACCAGGAGAGACATCCATTCAAT